GGACTACAGGCATACGCTACCACACCCAGCTATTTTTTTTTTGTATTTTTTAGTAGAGACGGAGTTTCACCATGTTGACCAGGCTGGTCTTGAACTCCTGACCTCAGGTGATCCACCTGCCTTGGCCTCCCAAAGTGCTGGGATTAGAGGCGTGAGCTACTGTGCTGGGCCTAAATTAACTAATTTAAACTTAATTTAGGTTAATTTCCTAAATCTGTATTATATTAAACTGCTATACTATTTGCCCACAAAAGGTCTTTTAACAGTCTGTACATTTGGTTAATATATTTTACCTTTTGATTAAAAGCTGTTACGGAAAGAAAATCTGGACTTGAAATTGACACCTTATAAGGTGTTAGCCACCAGTACAAAACATGGTAAGTATATTTTACATCATTATTTTACTTTAGTGTACATCGTGTGTACTTTTTCAAATTGAAAATTTTTAAGTATGTTAGAGATACAAATAATTTCCACTTGTAACACTGAAGACAAGTTGGACCTTCCTGCCTGCCTCCCTTCTGTCTTTCCTTCTTTCCTGTTTCTCAGTAACTACCGGTTAATTTAACTACTGGTTAATGTAGTTACTGAGAAACAGGAAATTTCAGACATTCCTGACAATCCTGTAGACACACACACACACACACACACATCCACATGCACAAACCATCTGAGTCTTTTTGAGATGAATAATCTCGGGAAGTTTGGTAGAAGATTCCCTAGGAATGCTTGCCTAATGCTTACTGTAAATTCCATAGTCTTGCTACCCTTCCTACTTTATACTAGTAGTTACTGAGAAACAAAATGTATGCGTTAGGTTTCCTATCCTTCCGCTGGCCACTCCCAAATCTTTTTGATGCCTTAATTACTCTTCTCAGTTTCTTCTCAGAATGATCTTTTAAAAAGTGCAAATGTGCATCTTTACGATCCTGCAAAAAATCATTTATTAGCTTTCATTTTCTCTTGGGACAAAGACCCCAAAAACCTTTACCTAGCTTCTAAGTGCTTGCATAGTGTGACACACCCTATATCTATCTTTCAAGCCTCTTCTTTTTACCACTCTTCCCCGGCATCCTGGGCTTTAGCCATCCTGGCTACCTTCTGTTTTATCTAATGCATTGTGCTCTAAGGCCTTCACATACACTGTGATCATTGTCTCAAACATTCTTATCTCCATGGCCTACTAACTTTATTATCCTTGAAAACATGGCTCAAATGTCAGATGTCCTTCGATCCCTACTGTAAGTTAGGTGTCCTTACACTACTTCCTTTCATAGTACCCTTTATTCATAGTATTTACCCCAGTGAAGCTTGTAAGCTTTAAGATCCATGTAGGCAGCATCAAGCATCTATTTTTACTTACTTGACAGATTTCTTCCAACATGGTCAAGAAACAATAAATATCTGTTAAGTGAATTAGTGCCAACTATTCTGTATTTATGATGCAAGAATAAATGAGATATTTCTTACTCTACAGGGGTATATAATGTCCTAATTTGCATGCAAATTATTGTCCTGTAGGCTTACCAGAACCAGATCATGATAGTTTATGATACTGAAATATTGTTTTCTTTATCCAACTTTTATTTTGTAAATATATCCATTGTTTTATGTTTCTTTTGTCTTCAGATTTATCAGACTGACTTTTTCTCCTTCTCCTACATACTGTCTGTCCCCTTTCCCTTTTGGTTTTTTTTGGTAGTTTAAGGGATTTACACATCTGTCATTACCAGGAAATGTCAGAAGATGGAATATTAGACCAAAGGAGCCATTACATACAGTTTTACATGCAGCTTTTAGGGTTAGGTGATTGTAATCCACAATTCTAGTTTTCTTATGGTGATTTTAAATTTGGAATATTTTAATTGGTATATGTTGTAAATCTATAGAAAGAAGAAATTTTTGATGCTAGATTTAAGAAGCTTACTATTAGTTTTCGTTCCTCATGTTTTATAATAGAAATCAGCCTAGAGAAACATACAGACTAAATCAGCTTAATTTTTTTTTAATGTTTTCTTATAGGTCGTATGACATAAATGCCAGTACAAACTTAATATAGTGTACATAGATCTTTTTAAGTTGTTCAGATATGGAATGCATTTATTCACAGATGAAGATTATTCTTAGCAGAACCTTTATTTTTCTTTCTTAACCAGTAGCTATGCTTAATGCATTGCATACGTTTCTGTGTAGGCTTCATGCAGTTTATCCAGTCAGTTCCTGTAGCTGAAGTTCTTGATACAGAGGGAAGCATTCAGGTATGGTATCAATAAAGATTATGCAATTCGTGAATATATTCTTGTCATAAAAAATTCAGTCTTTATAACATAGAGTTAAAAATGAAAGTCTCCTTTTATCATTTTTCTTTCTTCAAGTTTTTTTCTTCCTTTATTCAGAAGTAAGCATGTTTGCAGTTGAAGATTCTTCCATTTGTTACCTACAGATACTCAGTTCCTTGAACAATGCATTGTGTGTCAAGGGATCAGGCATTAATTGGTGAACACAGCCTGGCCAGTATGGTGAAACCCCGTCTCTACTAAACTCACAAAAATCAGCTGGGCACAGTGGCACACACCTGTAGTCCCAGCTACTTGGGAGGCTGAGCCAGGAGAATTGCTTGAACCTGGGAGGTGGAGGCTGCAGTGAGCTGAGATCACATCATTGCACTCCAGCTTGGGTGACAGAGTGAGACTCTGTGTCAAAAAAAAAAAAAACACCAGAGTTAATTGGTGAACAAACTAAATTGGTTAACGTTTGTACTTGCATTATATTCCAAAGAATGGAAACATTGTAATTTATGTGATATTAATTGATGACACTTTATTTCCAGTTTTTGTTACTCAGAACACTACCACGATGATATTGTTGCTCATCTGTCTTTTGTACAATTATCTAAGACCCCTGTCCTCTCCCTGCAACCTGTTGCTCCCCTTTAAATATGAGAAAAGGTCAGTGGTTCCTGTGACAAAGTAATGAATATGTTTGGATTTTTTTTTTTTTATTTTTTACCCTTTAAATACATGGATTAGTTCTTGTAACATCTGAATGGTTTATTTTTGTTTTTAAATATAATTGTCCTGCCTCCCTATGTAAAAAAAAGGCATGTAATTAAAACAAAAATTGACACACCCGAGATGAAAGAAACAACATAGAAGGACTTGGCAGAAGATATTTGATACAACGTGTTTTTGTCTTTCCCTATTTAATTGTTCCATTTATTCAGTATGGGAGTCAGATTTGTAGAAAAGTATTACTCCGATTCTTTTGCAAAGCAAGTGCTAATTCTGTTCTTTGATTTTGGGGTACAGTCATGTGCAGTGGTTAAAAGCTCAGGCTTATAACATCAAACTGCCTGGGATTGAATTCCACCCATGTTACTTTCCAGCTCTGTAACCTTGAGTGAACTGGTTAACTCTTTCTGCAGAGAAGAGTTAACATGGTAGCCCTAAGGTTGCTATCTTTGGAAAGGCCTGCTTGCCAGGAGATTGGTCACTGGCTTTCAGCGTGTTGCCTTTGCTTCCTAATGGATAAGGGTGGTTCACTGTGCCTAGATTGTTCAAATAATATGCTTTATACTAAACAACCTGCTTTCCTTCTGGGAGTCTGGAACTTTATAGTTGCTTGACAGAGGTTGCCTGGGTGACCAGTTCCCGTTAAAACCTTGGGTTCTAAGTCTGATGGGCTTCCCTTATCAGAAACATTGCACTCATGTTACTGCTTTTTATTTTTTATTTTTGGCTATTGGAAAAGAAGCTCACTGTGTCTCTTCACAGGACAGAGAGGGCTAGGATGCCTGTGTATGAATTTCTCCAGATTTTTTCTGTGTGTGTTTTCCATGTTGATTCTACTGTGTATCCTTTCTCTGTAACAAATCTTAGTCGTGATACAACTACATGTTTAGTCTGTAAGACCTTCTAGCAAGTCAAACCTGTCAGTGGTCCTGGGGACCCCTTTAACATACCCTTCAAGACACAGTTTTTGCATCTGTAAAATTTCCGTAATAACCCATATTACTCTTAGGATTGTTCTGAAGAGGACATGAAGTGTACTTAAAGTTTTTAGCATGGGTCCTAATTGCCAACGTTGTTTCATAAAGTTTTTGATTACTTATGTTGTTTTGAGTAATTATGATTTTATAAAATGAAAACGGTGACAGTTTGTATACTGACTCTGGCTGCACATCTGATCTGTGTAAGTCATTTACCTGGATCATAGATCACATTCGGCTTTACTTGATAGTTAGAAGTTGTTTTTCAGTAATTAAAAGTTGTTTTCTGAAACTGTTTTTCTCCTTGTGTTTCTCCTTGCTACACATCTTCGCCAAAATCGTAGTGTTGCCAAACTTCAAATTCTTCGTATCTCATTTTGGTTTGATTGCATTTTCCTGATTATGTGTAAGGTTGAACATATGAAAATTTATGTATAGGCCATTTGTTTCTTCCATGAAGTGCATGTTTGCATCTTCCTATGGCCCATGTTCCTGTTGTGTTGTTTATATTTTTTGTATAGATTTACAGGAATTTTTTAAATATATTCCAGATGCAAATCCTTTGTCGGAATACAGGGTATTCAAAATAGGTGAAAACATAGGATAAACTTTTTTTTTTTTTTTTGAGTCTCGCTCTGTCTCCTTGCTGGAGTGCAGTGGCATGATCTCGGCTCACTGCAGCCTGTACCTCCCGGGTTCAAACAGTTCTCCTGCCTCAGCCTCTCAAGTAGCTGGGACTACAGGTGCCCACCACCACGCTGATTTTTTTTTATTTTTAGTAGAGACTGGGTTTCACCGTGTTGGCCAGGATGGTCTCAATCTCTCGACCTTGTGATCTGCCCGCCTTGGCCTCCCAAAGTGCTGGGATTACAGGCGTGAGCCACTGCCTCTGGCCAGGATAAACTCATTTTCTAATAGTATGTTAATTGTATTTTCAGATAATATGGTCTGTGGTGTTTTTTTGTTTGTTTGTTTTTTGCCTCTAAATGTAAAAGAATAGGTGCAATTGGTAATCTGGGGTTGGGCGGGGGAGGGGTGCATTATACACAGTTTCCCCTAGTGGAAACTCTAGTGTATTTATTGTACTCTTAAAATTCTTTTGTTCAGTCAGCGTTTCTCATACTGTATTTTGATTAAGCTTTATACTAGACACTTGTTGGTCATTATTTATAGTTTCAAAACACCTAATTTGTTTGTTTGTCTTTTCAGAACTTTTTTAGAAAATATGCACCAAGTGAGAATGGGCCAAATGGGATTAGTGCTGAGGTCATGGACACTTACGTTAAAAGCTGTGGTAAGTGTTTCAGGCTGTTACTTTCCATTGATCAAATAAAGAAGAGCAGGCCATCCTGATACTGCCATAATCATAAACATTTAGAACATGTTAATATTTAAATGCTCTGTAGGAAGAGTAAAAGATAAATGTTGATTAAAGTAGTCATTAATGCTTTGACATAATAGTAGTAACAAGATGTAAATTGTATTTAGTCTTCAGGGATATATCTTTGCGATCACTGAACTATTTTATAATTGCAATTTATCTCTTCCTGGAAGCTGTTAATTTTCCATTAGATTTTCTCCATTTTTGAATAACAGAAACTAAGTAGACCATGGGAAAAGTCTCAATCAGAAATAATTGTGCTTTAGATAAAGTTTAAGAACTAAGATAATGGTGCTTCATTAAGAGGGTGCCCTCATGGTATTTCAGAGTCAGTTCTTATGGTCCATTCCTAGAAACAAGTAAGCAGTAGTAGTATTTCCTAGATATATATAGTAAGTGACATAGGGATTAATTTTTATTCTTCAGG